CCCTTTCCCCTAGGTTGGGACTTGAGAAATGAGAGAGGGAGAATTCCCTGGCAGCGCGCTCAAGCGCCCTGCTGCCCCTGTGAGAGCCAATGCTCTCTGCCTCCTCGCGCTGGAGCGCCCAGGGTTGCGCGCTTGAGCGCCCTTAGCCACTGAAGGAGGAGATGCTTCTGCCTCTGCGCGCTAAAACGTCCCAAATGGGGGCTTAAGCGCCCAAGATAGCGCGCTTAAGCGCCCTGGTTCACGCTTAAGCGCCCATTTACACTGAAAGACCTGACGCTCTCTGCCTCCGTGCGCTTAAGCACCCAGATGGAGGCTTTAGCGCCCGATAACGCACGCATGAGCGCCCGGTAGCGCGCTGAAGCGCGCGGGGCCTGTGTTCAACACCCTCTTGTGTTGCTTCAAATTGTCATAACTTGGGCTACAGTGCTCCAAACGAGGCGCGGTTCGAAGCCACGCGTAGCTAATGATTAGGAGAAGACATTTAATAACATTTGGTCTAAGGATATAAGAATATGATGTTAAGCTTAATTTATTTTATTCCGTAATGTAACATGGTTATGATCACGCGATTGGGCATTATAAATTCGGCATGTTTTGAAATGAAAAATTTAACCGGATTTTTAATTGAACCCATGTGATTGTAACTGCGCTTAATATCATAATGCGATGTTAACAAACCGGTTCTAGAATGGATGTTACATCTGTTTTAGGTTTTCAGTATTTTGTTACCTTTGTTGATTATTTTTCCCGTTGTACTTGGATTTATTTAATGAAAAACCGTTATGAGTTGTTTTCTATTTATCAAAAGTTCTCTGCTGAAATTGATACTCAATTTGGTGCTTCTATTCGTATTTTACGTAGTGATAATGCTAAAGAATATGTTTTTGTGGACTTTTCTAATTTCTTAGCCACACAGGGTACTCTACACCAAACTGTTTGTCCTCACACTCCACAACAAAATGGAGTAGCTGAACGTAAGAATAGACATCTCATTGAGATTGCAAGGACTCTTCTTATTCACATGCATGTTCCTCTTCACTTCTGGGCCGATGCAGTCCTTGCTTCTTGTTTTCTCATCAACTGCATGCCTTCATCTGTGCTTAATAATGACATTCCTTATAACTTATTGTTTCCAGATGTTCCTCTCTATCCTCTATCCCCACATGTCTTTGGTTGTACCTGTTTTGTTCATGATCTCACTCCTGGTAAGGACAAGTTAACATCCAAAGCTTTTAAATGCATTTTTCTTGGTTATTCTCGTCTTCCAAAGGGTTATCGTTGTTACTCTCCCGATCTCAAGCGTTACTTAGTTTCCGCTGATGTCACCTTTCTTGATCAACCCTTTAATTCTATCCCATCTCCATTGTCACGGGTTGATCATGTTCTTCCTGTTCCTTTTCTTGACTTGTCTTTGCCAGCTGCAGGTGCTTCTATTCCAGATAAGCAACCTATTGCTTCAGTACCTGAGAACCGTCCACTTCTCATTTATCAGCGTCGTAAAACTGTGCCTCCTGTCGACTCGACCCCTGCTGACTCATTGCCCCCTGCAATTGATTCTTCCCCTCTGGATCCTTCACCAGAGGCTCTTCCTATTGCTCAAAGAAAAGGTACACATACTAATCGTAACCCTTATCATCTTTATACCTTCTTGAGCTACGATCACCTTTCTCCTCCTCATTTCACCTTTGTTTCTAGTCTTTCTTCTGTTTCTATTCCTAAGACCACAGGTGAAGCATTTTTCCATCCATGGTGGCGCCAAGCGATGCTTGATGAGATGACCGCACTTCATACCAATGGCACTTGGGACCTTGTTTCTGCTCTTCCAGAGAAGTCTAAAGTTGGTTGTCGCTGGGTTTTTACTGTGAAAGTTGGACCTGATGGCCATGTTGATCGTCTCAAGGCACGCTTAGTTGCCAAGGGTTTCACTCAAATCTTTGGCCTTGATTATAGCGATACATTCTCTCCGGTCGCTAAGATGGCGTCAGTCCGCCTATTTCTTGCCCTTGCTGCTGTTCGTCACTGGCCACTCCTTCAACATGACATCAAAAATGTCTTTCTTCATGGTGATTGACAAGAAGTTTACATGGAGCAACCACCTGGTTTTGTTGCTCAGGGGGAGTCTGGAAAGGTGTGTCGTCTTCGAAAATCCTTATATGGTCTCAAGCAGTCTCCTCGAGCATGGTTCAGTCGCTTCAGTTCTGCTGTTCAGGCGTTTGGCTTAATCCGCAGTAAAGTTGACCATTCTGTATTTTATAGGATTACATCTCCTGATAAGTGCATCTATTTGTTAGTCTATGTTGACGACATCATTCTCACCGGAAGTGATCAAGACGGAATTTGTCAGTTAAAACAACATTTATTCAATGCATTTCAAACAAAGGACCTAGGGAAGCTGCGTTACTTCTTGGGAATTGAGGTGGCGCAATCTAGACAGGGCATTTCTATCTGTTAAAGGAAGTATGCCTTGGATATCCTAGAAGAAATTGGTATGTTGGGGAGTAAACCAGTTGATACGCCCATGGATCCTAATGTCAAGTTATTGGCCGGACAAGGGTAGCCGTTATCTGATCCTGGACGTTATCGGAGGCTAATTGGGAAGCTCAATTATCCTGCTGTGACTAGGCCAGATATTTCTTTCGCTGTTAGTACGGCTAGTCAGTTCCTTGATTCCCCTTGTGATTCACATTGGGATGCTGCTGTGAGGATCCTCCGATACATCAAAGGAGCACCGTGAAAAGGTTTGCTGTATTCGGATCAGAGAAATACAGAAATTTGTGGTTATTCAGATGCTGATTGGGCAGGATCACCCTCAGACAGGCGCTCTACTTCCGGTTATTATGTCTTCTTTGGAGGAAACTTAATTTCGTGGAAGAGCAAGAAACAACCTGTTGTTGCTCGATCTAGTGCAGAAGCTGAGTATCGTGCAATGGCAAGTACTACCTGTGAGTTAATCTGGATAAAGCAGTTGATTCAGGAACCCATGACACTCATCTGTGATAATCAAGTTGCGCTACATATATCCTCTAATCCTGTGTTTCATGAGAGGACCAAACATATAGAGATTGATTGTCACTTCATTCGAGAAAAGATTCAATCAGGAGAAATCAAGACAGCTTTCGTCAACTCTTCTGATCAACTAGCGGATGTCTTCACTAAAGCTCTTAGAGGTCCTCGGGTTGAATACATTTGTAACAAGCTTGGTGCTCACAATATATACGCACCAGCTTGAGGGGGAGTGTTAGAATATATTAGATATGATTAGATATGATTGGATTACTTCCTATCTGTAAATATTCTGATTGTATTAGGTCCGGGTCTTTCACTTAAGCCCATTAGGATCTCTATATATTGTAACTCTCTGAATTAGATCAATACACAGCATATTATTTTATATTCAAGTGTTCTATCTTTTGATTTTGAGCATTTTGGAGGCTATTCTCTGAAATTTTAATTTTCCTGGACACGTTTTGAAGTTTCTGCATGTTGGATTAGTGGAGTGCATCCTATGATGTTACTTCTTCATTAACAACTTGTATTTCACATTTTTATTTTTGGTTCTGTAATTTTCTAAGTTTCTTTTACTGTTTTAATGCTCCCTAAGATGGAGATGATCTAAACTCTGTAAGGTTGGGTTGGAAAAGTACCCAAACCTCAAGTAGCTATAAGGATGAATAGATTTCTGCTTTTAAATTTTATTTCCAGAATGCCTATGGTTGTTTGCTATGTTTAAGCTGTTGTATCTTGGCCATTAGTAGTTTCAGAGGAGAAATTGTTGAAAAACAAATCCTCCAGACTAGGCCCTAGGCACATGGACTTGAGTGAGAAATTACTCAATGCTTCTCTCTTCAGACATGAAAGAGACTTCCATGTAACAATAGACCAGAGCTTAAGAGTCTCACCCAGAACTTCCATAGACATATGGTAAGTGTTTGGAGTTTGAGAAAAATATGTTTTGAAAAATCAAAATGTTGCTGTAGTGTGGTTTTTAATTTGGTACTGCTGATAAGCACTTTAGAAAATATTCATCTTGATAACACTTGAGGGGAAGGTAAATTTAAACCCAACCTATTTTCTCTACTGTCTTAAGACATTTAAGTTAATACCAATTTGTTTTGTTTAATCAATCTTTCAGCATTTCTTTTTTTACAAGTTTGATAACTTTTCTGAAACTTTTCCCTTATTCCAATTTTAATTTTGTTTACATTCTGCAACAACTTAATTCACAATACAATCAGAAAATCCTTTCAAAAACAAATTCCAAAATCAAGTTCAGTTTCAGTAATTTTAATTTTAGTTCTAATTTCTTTTTTAGCAATCGCCAAATTAGAACAACTCAAATTTCCATAATCTCTGTGGGATAATATTAAGGTCTTTGTAAAGAACCAATTCAATCCAAAAGCTTCAGTTATTGGGTGAGGCTCCATTAATGGTTTTATATTTCTCTAACATGCCCCCTCACATGAGAGCCCACTGGGCTTGACAGATGAACAATCGTAGGCCCACCTACCTGTGTTAAGAGACTCTACAAGACTTAATTAATTATTAAATGGGGGGGCGGTGAGGATCAATTCAACCCAAAAACTTAAACTGTTAATTGAAGGCTTCTTTAATGGTTTATATATCTCTAACACGCCCCCTTACTCAAGAGCCCAATGGGCTTGAAGTGTGGACAATACACAGACCCACCTACCTATGCTAAGAAACTCCACAAAATTTAATTAATTATTAATTAAATGGGGGGCGGTGAGGATCTCTCTCATTAGACTCTAGATATCATATAAAGAACCAATTCAACTCAAAAGCTTAAGCTATTGGGTGAGGCTACATTAATGGTTTTATACTTCTCTAACAATCTTAATATGCCATGTACTACTTGTTGATGCATATACTTGAGCAAATCTTCCATAATTGTTAGCAAGCAACATTACCTATTAAGAAAATTAAAAATCTATACTTTTCCTATTAAGTCAGTAATCAGTATAATAGAATAACAGTCTTACCACAAAATTTGTGAACTGATCAGGGTCCACCCGTGTAGCAGACTCAGCTTGAACATCAGAGACACCTGCTGGATGAGATAATGAATCGTGAGGATCAACCATGCCCAATGCCAGTGGTTCATCCCATCTGTTCACTGTGGGCAGAATTCCTACTTCATACATATGTTCCTCCAACTGGGGGTAAAATGTATTATATGGTGCCACCTGATAAGTTACAAGAGAGAAAATAATTTCAAATAATAAGTCAAGCAGAGGAGCTAGGATTTTACAAAAATTATGCAAACCCTTATCAGAAGCTAATACCACTACAAGAAGCAGAATTGCATAAATGGGGACAGAATTGTAGAGTTTTATAAAGAGGCCACTGAACCAAAGACCCATATTCTTAGTGATAAAAAAAATTGGTTAGTAAAAATGTTACTAGATGTTTAACTTAAACTCAAATACTAGTTCCTGCAGAGCATCAAATATAATAATCTAACAAGACTTATCCATTATACCTCTTCAAGCTTAATCAAGGAGTTAACCCTTTTTTATCTTTTTCTCTGCTTATATTAACCACAGCTTATCACCACGTTAGGCCTCATATGGTTATTAAGGTTAGATGAGGTGAATAAGGGATAAGACGGATTTAAGTTGTAAGCATCCAACACACGTCGCAGGTTGGACCATAGTAGTGAGGAAGGTATGAGGAGTGAATTCTGTTAAAGAAAGTCATTAAAAGCAGAGAGGGAGAGGGGGATGGCAGGCAGAAAGAATTAGAGTGGCTTTGGGTGGGGTTGGCCTTTCCTAAGCAATGTTGTCAAGATTGCAGTCCAGCACATAGGATCATAAATTTTACAAGGTTCCCCTCAACGAGCAATCTAGATTCTGCCTCTAAACTCATTTTCATGGAATCACTGTAACATCGCTGTGCTGGAACATAGAAGCGGTAGAAACATTTGGTCCATCAGTATTAACAAACAGTCACACCAAAGATGTAATTCTTGACTGAAGACCCAAGCCAACCCATCCGCTAGCTATTGATTTCCTTAAGTGTAGCCATCGAACTAGCGAGAAGTGTGACAAACACAAGTCCTAGCTGATTGTGTGACTTGGTGGTTCTCAGAAGTTTGGTGCCTCTGCAATCAGGAGGGGCTGTGCGACTGAATGGTTTGGTGCTGTCCAAGTAGGTGGTTCTCACTCCAGTGGTTTGGTGCTGTGTTCTATGCTGTGCGTCCTGTTTTGTGCTGTGGGACTGTAATGTTTGCTAGAGGGCTAGTGTCTTTTTAAGACATAGTATATCATTATGCATGTTCTATTGACTTTAGGGGTATATATATATAGACAACACTGTTCCTAAGGCTGAGATTCTCTGTCTGAGTTTCTATTTGCTGTGGTTTTTCTTTTTTTCTTTGCTGTTTTCCATTTCAAGAAATTCCAGAACACTATCTTGTTGTAAGGAGCTTGATTCCATTTTTTAGATCAATACAGTTCCTATCACATTAACATATAGGTCATATACTATATGCACCAAGAAACTTGCAATATTAGCTAATTATTCTGTATTAGGTTAAATCAGACAAACCACAGGATTTATCACAAATCAACCACTTTGCAAATTCTGTAGTGGCATCTAATTGGAGGCCTAAGCACAGTTTGCAAACTTCACAAAGTTACATGCTCATGTAATAGCCAACACAGAAAGGCCGAGCACCAACTGGCCAGCAACTTCATAAATCATGCACGGAGAGTGAAGATGCTCACCTGCAGTTTATGGTTATCACCAACAATAAGAGGTTGTTGGTTAACTCCCAAAAAGAAAATGCATTCACGGCAGTTGGCAATACAAATACGTTTTGCTGCCACAATCACATGAACCCGTTCACAGTGTTCTACTCTCACAGCCTGTTAAACCAAAAAAATAGTGAAGCTCAATTTCAATACTGATAACGAAGCAGCAGCTATTCTAACAATCATAGTAAGCAGAACAGAGCTAAATAAACAGCATTATAATATTCTAAATTGAATATGTTATAAACAGACAACAAAACAGCCAGTTATACAAAACTGCAGAGATTTTATTTGGAAAAAAAGGAAAAGAATAAACCAAAAAAAACCACTCCACGTTTAAACCCGACTAGCGAATGTATATTATACTTAATATTCAATAATTTAATAAAAAAGTGAAGCTAGACTTATAATACCAATCAATTTTGTAAAAAAACATAAGATACCCTAAATATTTATATTAAACTCAATAAAATGGTAATCATAATCCAACGAATCTAATAGTTGGTACAATAAACCAGCGTTGTCAAACACGGACCGACCCGGGTCCCGGTGGGATAGCCGATTGGAGTTACACTTTAGACCGGCCATGCAATCAGCCCAATACAACCCTCACAACCCGCCCGGGTTTTTTCAAGTCCCATTGACCCTCGGGGACTTGTGAACCAATGTGGGTCAGATTAAAAAAATAAAAAATAAAAAATAAAAAATACACAAATCACAAAAGTAAAACCCGGCGTCCAACGAAATCCCTAAGGGGTAAAATCTAAACACTATGGGTGGTGGTTGATTCCACAGATCGTCCTCGCCGTAGGTGGTGGTCTTCGTCGTCGGAGTCCGTCGGAGTCCCTTTCCCTTTCCACAAAGCTGTTCATTTCCATTTTGTTTGGTCAAAGCAGCATTTTCTTTTTGGTTCATTGCTTGACGTCGACAAGTATGCATAGGGTTCAGATTCACGCTCGGGAACTAAGAATTCTTGATCCCTTGATCTCTTAAGTCTTACCCCTCTACCATTCTGGGTCGTGAAAGGGCCATTGTTATTAACTTGGAGGTGCTTGCAATTTTTATTTTATTTTATTTTTACATTTTGTTTTCTAATTTGTGCTTTTTGTGTTATTTTTAATTTGTTTCTCTGGTTCTTATTTTCAGCATATCAAAGCAGTTATCGCAGCCGAAGAGGTTAGTTGTATTTTCTTTTGTGTGTATGCATTTATTGTTGATTGTAGGCATCTAAGACCCTCTGTGTGTGTTGTCTCTGGTGCTCAACCTTTTGTGGGGTTCCCTTAAGCAATATATTGCTTGTGTCTCTCTTGTAATTTAGCTGTTTTATTTTTTTATTGATAGATGTAAAACCAAGTTATACTGCAACTTGTTTTGAACATTTGATCCTTGTGGTGGTTGGTGTTAAATTTGGTGATAAATTTTTACGAAAATTGATTGGCATATTATTCATTATATAAATATTATATACCTCTCTTAATTTAAAAATAAAAAATTCTAGTGTGCTTTCCCTTTCCCTTCAAAGCCTTCGATTTGTAGCTTCAGCGTACTATTGAGAATTCATTAATGGCAGAAGTTTTGGTAGGACAATTTATCTCTACCATTATTGAAAAGGGGATTGTGATTCATAGTACAATCAAAGAAATAATGTCCCTTTGTCTCTATTCTTCACTGCAAATGGAGAGTGTGGGCGGTCATGGAAAATTACAAGCTCGAGATGTTATAAAGCTCTCGAGATTGAAGTTTACAATTTATCCGTAACAGTTAATATGCTTGAACTCCTTCCTTGGTGGAATTAAGGTTATGGAAATTACTTTGTTCAATTATTCTTTTTTCTAGAAGTTTGCTGATTTATGTTGTTTAACTACATCCTTGACTATTTTATGGATGGTCAACTTAACTTGGTATCAATGGAGAGGACTCTCATAATGGAAAATGTGCTAATGGAGATTATTCTCCAGTGCTCTGCTTATTGAACAAGTTTCTTGAGTTGCACCCCCGATGTTAATTCTTCATATATATATATATATATATATATATATATATATATATATATATCGAAAAATCAAAAATTCAGTCACTGGACTGTCCAGTGACTGAATTTGCACTATATTCTCCCGCGAGAATATAGTGCAAAAATATTACAATGGCGTTCTTCGGTGTTCTCCCAGGAGAATATAGTGCAAATATTTTTTGCACTATATTCTCGCGGGAGAATATAGTGCACTGGACCAAAATTACATCAAGTCACTTGATACTCACTAAGCCCTATATATATATATATATATATATATATATATATATATATATATATATATATATATCCGGGTCAACCGATCCGACCAGTGACTCAGTAACCCAGTACCACAACCGGGTCGATACCCAGGTCAGGTTTGACAACACTGCTAAAACGCAACACAACACAACATTTTTAGTACCAACAGGAATGACGTGTTTGAGTATCAAAGAGTGACGAAGTATCGGACACGACATGTCAAGGTTTTTAAAGTGTCGGTACTTCATAACATATGAATGTCTTCATGCTAATCAAGAGGCAGTGCATGAATAAATGGAAAGGAAAAAAAAAATAGCTGCAACCCATGCTATAGAATGGAAGCTAAATTTAAGATATTGATTATACACTACTCCACAAGCCTCAATGATTGTCCAGGTTACATTAGTAAAACAATGTTTTATAGAAAGAGCTAGTTCCATTCCCCTTCCCCTTGCCTACTATAATTTTAATCCTAAAAAGGTACCACTCCATTAAAGCCAGCTGGACAGTCGCCATATCAGTTTCATGATCTTTGTATTTTTCACTTTATAACTAAAGATGAGAACACAATACCATTTCCCAAATTCCTATTATAAAAACCATATATATTCTAATACTTTATTAGACTCATTATGCTTCTCTTAAAAGCAGAACATAAAGAGTTATTATTTACCTTGCCAACGGCTCCTAGAACTATTGTAGCATCTGAACATCCATAGACAGTTGCATATCTCAAAGGCGCTAAAATGTAGATGGTAGACTCATGGCAATTGAGAACCTGCAATGACCAAACACAATTTTTATAGCATGCTGCATGCCAATTTCCATAATAATCTCGAGACATCTCAACGTCCAAAACATGTGAAGTAAGAGATACATAAGGTGCTAAATAGGATCAGAAAAAGAACATGGATTGCAAAATAGTAAAACAAAACCTCTAACAGAAGGCAAGGAATCAACTATCACAAATGTTTAGGCTGTTATGTACAAGACTAGGTAAGTGTTTTTTTCTCTAACACTACTCAAAAGTCAAAAAACATTCAACATCAACATCAACATCAACATCAACAACACCTTTATCCCAAATTAATTGGGGTCGGTGGTAGATGAACCCACATGAAAGATACAAAACGGTTGAAAAAAAGTAAAAAAATAAAAAATAAATAAATAAATAAAAATACACAAATAAAATAATAAAATAAAATAAAATGAAATAAAAATATATGTATATATAAATAAATAAAAGTAAAAAAGAAAGGGACAAGAAGAAGTGGGGGAAATGAAGGGGAAAAGGACTAAAAAAGGACCATCTGGAACATAGGAATAACAGCGAGTCTAACCCTCCACCATACTTATAGCTTTTCTCCATTCCTTTCTAAGACATATTGTCCGCCAATCTATATCCCACTCCATTAAATCTTGTTTTACTACTTTCCCCCAAGTAAGCTTCGGCCTACCTCCCTCAAAAAACATTGTGAACATTAAAATTAAAAGCACAAGCAGTGCAGTCTATTCCATATAGAAAAGGCAAATAAGTAGAGAACATGATATCTGGTATAAGACAAGAAATAAACCGAATCAAAGCTTTTTGTAAAGAACCATGTCAACCCCAAAACCTTAAGGTTTTGGGTTGAAGTAATTCTTTCATGGTATCAGAGCCTTTGTGTCATGGGTTCGATTCTTACCGTCCCCACTTTCTCTTGTGTTGCATAGAAAGGTTAGTAGAAGAAACAATTGAGAGATAGGGTATTGGGTGCAAGATTTTTTCCTTTTCTTAAGGCAATGGGTAAGTCATCAGAGACACTGGGTAAATTATCAGAAGCAATGGGTAAGTCATCAGAGACAATAATATCCTGTTCAGAAACAAGAGATTCAGGATTTGCCAGTGATTCAGACGATTGAGGTTGCTAGTGAAGCAGTATGGGTTGTTTCCTCCTCTGATATACCAATTTAGGTGTCAAAAATTTCCGTATCTCCAGTGTACTTGAAGGTACTGACACATCAGGAGTAGACACAGGAGGGAGAGGAGTAGGAATAGAAGTAGACAAGGACGACCTAGACTCAAAGAAGGAAGGGAACGAGACTTCTGAAGAACTGTTCTCCCCCTGAAGATGAGGACCCTGGAAAAAGAACTCAGGTTCATGAAAGGTGACATCCATAGAAACAAAAAAATTTCGACTCGGAGGATGATAACACTTGCAGCTTTTTTTTATCAGGGGCATAACCAAAGACGACACACTTAAGAGCCCTAGGATCCAACTTACTGCGATGTTGTTTATGAACATGGACAAAGGCAACACAATCAAACACTCGTGGCGGAAGACTCTGCAAAATGGGAACATAAGGAAAGAAAGAAGTCATGGAATGAATAGGACAGGTATTATTAAGGACCCGTGAAGGTAAGCGGTTGATCAAAAACGCTGCAGGCCTGCAGCTCACACGACTTCTCCCCAATAAGAACTAGGAACAGATGTCTAGAACAGTAGCACTCTGCCGACTTCAAGGAGGTGACTATTTTTTCCTTCAGCAACCCTGTTTTGTTGAGGAGTATCAACACATGTGAGCACATGAATCATATCTTTGTCTGAAATGAATTGCAACAGACGTTGGTTGACGTACTCAGTACCATTATCAGATCTTAATCTTTTAATATTCTTACCAAACTGAGTCTCGACCATGTGATAAAATCGGATAAATATCTCTGGTACTTCAAACTTGTCTTTCATCAAGAATATCCATGTCACCCGAGTACAATCGTCAATAAAAGAAACAAACCACTTTGCACATGAAACACTATGCACTTTAGAAGGCCCCAAACATCAGAATGAACCAAAGAAAAAGATTCAATGCTTTTGACAACACTAAAAGGAAAGGACACTCGATGGTGTTTTGCAAATTCACAAGCATCGCAATGAAAGGTCTCAACTGACTGATTTAGAAACAGAGAAAGAAACATTTACTTCAATAGTCTAAATGATGGGTGCCCCAGACTCTTGTGATGGAGCCAAATCACAGATCTGCCATAGAAGGATGACGTGACATCAATAGCTGATTTTTGGTATCATTTGTAGCATGTTCTGGAAGGAGATAATATAACCCAATCTGCTCCTCAACAACTCCAATTGTCTTTCTCATGGTAAGATTCTGAATAACACAATGAGAAGGAAAAAATGTGATGAAACAATCCAAATCAGTTGTAAGCTTTTGAGCAGAGATAAGATTAGTGGAAAGTTGAGGAACATAAAGAACATTTTTAAGAAACAAGGAAGGTTGAATTTTAATGTTACTTGAATCAATAACTAATTTATGGGATCCATCGGCTACAGCTGTAGTATGACTACCAACAATTGGATGATAAGAAAGAAAAGACTCAGCAAGACAAGTCATATGATCAATTGCACCAGCATCCAAAATCCATGAGGTTTTAAAATCAGTGCAAGAAGCAAAAAAAGATGTAGATTGTGTGTTCTTAACAGACAAGATCAAAGAATTGTCAGACGGCTTACGCAGAGTATCAATAGCGGTCTTAAGCTGCTCCAACTCCCCATGCCGAATATTCACATATGAAGTAACATTATCACACTTCCCATGAAAGCAAAAACACGTCTCTTGTGTGTCCAGCACTCTTACAATAGATGCACCAATGTCTCATGGACAAATAAAACAAATCAAATAGAACAACCCAAAAGAAGTGGGTAATTACCAATGAAGTCAAAAAAAAGTCTCCAGAGAGCCCAAAGAGCAGAATAACTTCAAGTTTAAGTCCAAACAGAAGCAAAATTATTAGATATGCAAAAAGAGGAACCAGAAAACGCCAAAAAATCTGCAACTTGAGGCAAAAAACACACAAACGCACAACCAGGCGATGTTGTAGAAGCCTCTGAACATCCCAAACAGCAACAAAAAAATCAGATCTGATTAAAGGAGGCACAAGTGGCCAAAAAGATCCAATTTTTATGACAAGTAGAGGTCTCTAAACGTCCCAAACAGCAACAACAAAAAATCAAATCTGATCAAAGGAGGCACAAGTGGCAAAAAAGATCCGATTTTTATGACGAGATCAAAGACCCACTGCTGGAAGCGTATGTAGATTGATAGATATGGAAAAACGGAGTCAAACAATGGTCCTCTTGGTCCAAAAGGTCCCCAAAACAATTTTCCAATGGCAACGAGAGGCTAACAAATAGGGTTCCACTCTAAAGGTGGCAATTGCCGAAGCAGAGCCCTCAGGATCGAGAGCACTGATACCATGTTAAGAACCAATTTAAACTCGAAAGCTTAAGATGTTGGGTGAGGACCTTTTTAATGGTTTGTACTATTCTCTAACACGTCTCCTCATACGAGAGCCACTGGGCTTGAAGAGTGGTCAATGCATAAACCTACCTTTGCTAAGAAAATTCCACAAGAGAAGTGGGGCCGGTGAGGATCGAACCCATGACACCGAGGCTCTGATACCATGTAAAGAACCAATTCAACTCAAAAGCTTAAGCTGTTAGGTGAGGACCTTTTTAATGGTTTATACTATTCTCTAACACTTTTATATAATATGCACGAGCGCGCGCGCGCGCACATAATGTTGAAACTCATTGAAAATACAAGTCTAAAACTAAGATGGAACAAACTGCTGAGACCAGCAAATTAGAGCCCGACGAGCATCTTGGCTACTTTTGAAATAATGATTTGTCATGCATTTAAGGGGATTAATTTTCTCATGCTACACACACAATACATGAGTGGGGTCCACAAAAAAAATCAAGATGGCACCCACTCATGTATTGTGTGTGTAACATGAGCAAATTTTCTCATGCAAAATGAGAAAACTATTTCCCTGCATTTAAAGCTAAACTGATTCCAGAAACAACAGAGGAGAAAGATTTGGGAGAAAAAAAAAGATAATATTATTTGAGGATTTTGACACTTCTCAAACCCATGCATTACTGCCTTAAGTAAATTTATAAAACTTTCACCTCAATGAAGAAATCTGAGGTTTGACAAGTTACTTAACGAACAAAAAGAGATTGAGTTCAGATAGGAAGACACTAAAAACAAACATATCTAGAACTTATTTCATTAGTACTTTGTCTGCATGAAATTAAACCGAGGAAAGCACAAGAATATAAATTATAATCTTTCTCCACAGCCATTTCACATGCTATAATTATACATATATTGGTTATTAAGCTTTGATCTCTATTTATGCTTTAAAGGCCTTAATTGAATAACATCCAGCTGAATAGATGATTGACCATAAAAAAAATCTTACTCTAAAAATATTATACATATTTGGCTTTAAATAATCTCTCTAAAAATTATGTTTGGCAAGACGTTTAAAAATCCATTAGTCAGAATTAAAGTAATAAAAAATCACTTAAATATGTTTCATTCATAAGTAATTTGTATTTTAAAATAAATGCAACAACTAGAATACAAGTCGTAAGTCTTCAATGCATATTGTTAGAGAATAATATAAATTATTAAAAAAGTCTTCACCCAACACCTTAAGGTTTTGGGTTGAAATGGTTCTTTACATGGTATCGGAGCTTCAGTGACCACGAGGTCAAGAGTTCTATCCTCACCGCTCCTCACTTTCTTGTGTAATTAAATAAAAGCATAAGGTAAACCAAACATTGAGTCTCTGCAATATCCACGCTTCAAATCCAAAAGGCTCTTGCGTGAGGGGGTGTGTTACAGAATAATATAAACTATTAACAAAGCCTTCACCCAACACCTTAAGGTTTTGGGTTGAAATGGTTCTTTACATGGTATCAGAGCTTCAGTAACCACGAGGTCACAAGTTCGATCCTCACCACCCCCACTTGTGGAATTAAATAAGTATAAGGTAAATCAAAAAAAAAAAATGGGGCCTATGCAATATCCACGCTTCAAGCCCAAAGGGATCTTGCGCCAGGGTGTGTGTTAGAAAATAATATAAACCATTAAAAAAGCCCTCACCCAACACTTTAAGATTTTTGGTTGAAATGGTTCTTTACATGGTATTAGAGCTTCAGTGACCATGAGGTCACGAGTTTGATCCTCACCGCTCCCCACTTTGTAGTGGAATTAAATAAAAGCATAAAGGTAAATCAAAAATTAGGTCTGTGCAATATCCACGCTTCATGCCCAAAGAGTTCTTGCGTGAGGGAATGTGTTACAAAATAATATAAATCATTAAAAAGGTCATCACCTAACAGCTTAAGCTTTTGGGTTGAATTGATTCTTTACACATATTAACAACTAGATCCACACACTACAAGTTAGAAATGATGTCCGAAATGATGTCCAACATTTGCCAAAAATGCATTGGGCACTGAGTAAAATTCAAATCACAAACCTAAACTTATGCCAGGCTACATAACATGCCCTCAACTGGAAAAACTTTGAATCAAGCCATAGTACTGAAAAAGTAGGCACTCCTTCCGTCAACTTTTTGCCAAATATGTAACTAACTCCTAACTTAAGCATTCAACTTACACATTTTCTCAAAATGGCATAATTGTCAAAATGTGAATAGAAGGACAACTCACTTTTCCATTATCACGGAGAGGCGTGACGACTAGAAAGTTTCTGTCCAGATATGAGTTTAGCACATAATGCACTATTAGAATATCTACAAAATATCTTCGAATCTTCAGAGTATGTTTGGAATATTATGCATATATTATAGGATCAATTAGTCCTGTAACTAGGAGCAATTGCAGTTGTTTCCTAATTTTATTAAGTTTCCTAATCTGTTCCATTATTTAACTAGGGTTAGGAGAGTAGCTTGTACTGGTAGTACATTAGTGCTACACTAGTACTTGACCTAATTGTTAGCTAGTACTTGACCTGATTGTTAGTAGAAACGAGTCAATACTTCATATTTTACACATTACACCGTATCAATCTCATATCTTATTATTCAGTGTTTATTCTGTTTTCCTCCTTCACTAACTAAACCATATACTTTCAACACAGACCAAGTCCAGCTTTTTCAACTTTCAGACATAAAACTGCATGTGAATGAAACTCAAATCAAAGCATCAGCCATTTCTCATTATATTAAGTTGGAACATGAAGAGCTAAGTAGCCTATTCATTTAGAAACAGAGGAACATTTGAAACATAACTCCAGTTATTAGTAACTATTAGGATAAATAGTTCATTATTCAAAGGTCATAGATCTAAATGTTAGCAACATCGTACCTGAAAAAAAATTAAAATGTCAAATATATGGAAAGAAGACATGTAAAAAACAAACCTTAACAGAGGAACCTTTAATGTCAGATGCATGCTTCACATAAAACGATTTAGAGATCCCTTCAATGAAACTTGGACCTCTAGTACTTGTTGAGACCTTAACTGAGGCAGTGCATGCATCAGTCATAGCAACATCCTGATCAGTGGCACTGGATGGCCCATTTTCCTTTGCAGAAGTCCTTTCAGAAATATGCTCCAAAGCAGAAGTTATATTCTGCAGAAGCCAATCATGAACTTGCGCGGCAGGAACAGGAACGGCAGGCATGTCAGGATCTGAGTTTGCAAAAAAAGGAGATGCTTGACTCAAAGAATTTCCTTCAGCCTTATCACCAAACTGAACCAGAAACCCAAGGTGCTCGAATTTATCCATACTTAAAACCTAAAACAATGACGTCAAATAAGCAAAATACTAAGAACCAAAAAAAATATTACAGTTTAAAATACAATACAAGGGAAATACTGAAATAAAACCTACAGTCAAATCAACATCAACATCACCTTTATCCCAAACTAATTGGGGTCAATGGTCGATGAACCCAAATAAAAAGCAAGAAAACATTGAGGGAAAAGAAAAAAATAAGAAAGAAATAAATAAATAAATATAGGGAAAGAGGACCATATGGAACATAGCAAATAACAGGTATACCTCTCCAAATACTAATAACTTTCCTCAGCTCCATCCTTTGACAAACCTAATGCAAATCTATTTCCCATTCTGTCTTAAAACAATTAGAATTTCTCAAAATTCCTTACTTATCTTCATTTAATACTGCATATTATGAAACTACGTTGAATTCACTAAAAGGAAAAAAATTATAGAGAATTGACTGCTAAGACAACATGTCATGCCCCAATGAAAAGGTGGAATTATGTTTAACAATATGCTATGTGATGCATTAGTGAGCAAATGGTAGTAAGTAGTAAGTCTTACCGCAAATCCAATATATCCTTTCATTATGATTACCAATGACTAAAAATCATACATGCATTGTCAAATGCATTTGAAACTAAAACTGAATTAATTAGTTTATAAAAATAGGGACTAGAATCAACACCAAGAGAAGTTGGTATCAACAACAGCAAAGTAAAGTCAGACATCCTTATCAAATTAAAATAGATTCTGCCCCAATATGAACCAAGGCGGAAGAGGCAAACTACCAGCCATGCCGTCTGTAGAAACGTCCAGTCCAGTCATATTGGCTCTCCCTTGCACAGGCATGCATGTAAATCAGCATACATGATTTCATATAGTCCACACTGTCACTTGACACGTCCCGAACCTAATTGTACAAAAGCTCACTCCAGCCTCATTCTTAGCAACAGGTCACTGATGATTGAGTATGAGTCTTAAAAAGATGGGCAAAGATAGCATCATCCACACCATCCCCAGATCACTAGATTTTACTATATATTGGAATAACTGAATAAGTGAAGATCACTCAGCCACATTTGCTTGGTATCAAGTGAATAATCAAATAGGTTCCATTAAAGTTCAAAAGCAAAAAGAAGTGGAACTGCTTGAAATTTACAACTATATTATTCTGTCAATGACTCTAAAATAGCAGGAATACTAAAAACATAATCCATCCAATAATGTTCTAATTAGGTTAATGGCCATTTGTTAGCACTGATTGCTCAAAAGAATTTTGACCATATATAGTCGCATTTGTCCAAGATTCTTATTCTTACATGCAAACACGACCACCACCACCACCCCAAAGAAAAAATGAAACTCAGCATACTATAAACTATAGGGTCATGTTTTCTGCCCTCCGCAAGGAATCGCCAGTGATAGTGCTATATCATAAATCAGAAATACAAGGTTGCAATCAACACAAGGGGTATCTATCTGCTCCATATAATGGAGTAATATTAATACAGTTTACCCAATTTATGTTTTAAGCAATAGGAAGAAAAAAAACTACCGTCAATTTGAAGGAGTTAAAACTCTAGATGCAACAGTTTTACACAACAATTACACAAACAAAACTAAGACATCGTTGTTATATACACGGGATGGCACCAAACCAGCATATTGATTCCAATAATGGATCCCAAAGACGAAATAACACAGCATAGCTATATGCCAATATTTTTACAAGGCATATAGGAAATAATCTATTGAAGCGAAAATTATAAAACCATAAGTAGCATGCAAAAATATAACAAACCAACCAGAGATTCTTCTCCTTCGCCTTCCACGGGCTCCGATAGAAGAGATAGAATGTTAGCAAGGTGCTTTTGCAGATACGATAATTGATGTGCCTCTTCATCAGCCTGCGATGGCACAAAACGCCGACTATTGCTGCGCACAAGCTGCAAAATATCAAAAATGCGGGATTAACACTATTGAGCATCAACAGTATTAGTATGCGTTTGGATTACCTTATTTTTGTGCTCAAAACAGCTTAATTATCAAAAGCTTTGTAAGAGAGCTTTTGAAAGCAAAAACCAAACAGGCGCACTTACTTGAAAATTGAAATGAGCTTAATATGGAAATAGAAATAACCACAACATTTTAATGATTGCATTGCAACGATCGAAATAAGAAACGGAGAATCGAGTTCACCTGCAGCGGCGAGAGGGCCGACAAGTAACCGTCGAAGGCGGAGGTGGAAGGCCAAACGTCGGCGACGGCGGCGGAGTCCTTATGGTGGGACCGGGGGAGCAATCTCTTGTAGGATTGGATGTAGAGGAACAGGACCAGATCGTGCACGTCGGCGGAGACGGCGTCGTTTTGGGCGGGGGAGTCGGAGTGGAGGACGGAGGCGAGGGTGTCGAGGATGAGCGTGGCGTGGTCGGTGGAGATCTGGAGTGACTCGGAGATGGAGGCTGAGTCGACTCGCTGGTTGGAGGACGAGTCGAGAAGCTTGTGCTTCAAGTGGATTAGGGTTTGTGTGGGGTCGGAGAAGATGAGCTTGGGAATGGGCAAGAGACCGTGTTCGAAGGGCTCGCGCCTTGGGTGAATCACGGTGGTGCTCGAACAAGATGTGGAAGGTTCGATTGGCTCAGTCATGGCTCTAGACAGAGACAGACAGAGAGAGAATGGTGCCAATTGAAGAGAGAGAGAGAGGGATCAGATCTTTGGTGATGAATGATGATGAGAATGAAGGAGGGAGAGAAACGAGGGTTGCGTTCCGGTGTGCTTCGCCGTGTGGGAGTATGGTGGTGTGGCCAATTACTTTGTGGCACGTTGAACTTTTCTTTTTAAAGATTCATCGGAATACGAAGTTTTAATGAGTTGTATGGTACTTACAAGGATATTTCATTCCATTGGGCGTGACATTTTTCTAGTTCATTGTAAATACATTCATGTGTTCAATGAAAATTATATGTTGTAATCATACTCAAAAGAAACTCCACGATTTGCTATTTGAATCCCACAATTTGGCATGATTTGATAAGTCATCCATATTTAATTATTTATCATGTGAAAAATATTCACAATAATCATCTTTGGGAGGGGTTTAAAGCCTTAATCCTGAACTTGCCCCGAATTGAATTAGTTGCGAAACGATGAACCGATTGAAATATTTTCAAAAAAAAAATAATAATAATCACAATGATTCATTAATTTTTTTGTCAATTCTCATAAATAAAATAAAAAGTCAAATAATCTTAAATAGTTAGACTAGAAGGAACTAAAGAAATATCATTAAATACACTTTATTTTATCACTCGATTTTGTTATGTTGTCATTCTTTTCTTTTTTTGGAGACATTATGGAAAGAGAAAAAAACAACAACAACAAAACAAGGACAAATTAGGCATAAAGCCTAGGCCAACCAACACCTCTCTTATCACCAAATAATTTGTTCAAGTACCCTCACGAAGGCTTTTCCAATTCTTAAACTGGCCAAGAAAAACCATACGAGTATAAGGCTAATTAGTCTGCAACGTTGTTCTTATCAGATGAATATGGGAGATATATACACTCCAATTCCTCGAATATGATGTATTAACGAAAATAAGGGGTGAGAGTGATTGCATTTATTCAAGATGAGCTACTGCACTAGCAAGGAGTCCCCCTTTAGCCAGACATATTGAAACCTCTTGCGCTAAGTCAAATCCAACCCAACCAGACAAGCCCACAGCCTTACGTTTAAAGCACTCCCATAGCCCAAGCATTTACATAAGCCAACAACCCAAATGACAGAGCAGTCGATGATCACCCTACCGCAGCTAAAACATACGACGTTTGATGAATTGCCACCGTCAAAATTTAGTTTGACCCAGTATAAAGGTGGAAAAGACCATAAAATTAACCTCCTTAAACGAGCCTTAGGTTGTAATCCAGTAGTAGTTAGCATGTCTCTAGCCTGAAGGACGATATCGCGATACTTCGTTGCCTCATTAACTAAGCTCTAAGTAGTTTGAAATTACCCCTCAAAGACCATTGTGTTCCTAGATCGCCACAGAAAAAACTAAGTGGTGATGCAAAAAAAGGAAAGACTAGTTCGGGTCGCTACCCCAACTCCTTTTGCTTTCTACTTTGCCAACAACCAATCCTGGAGATTTAGGTTTAAAAAGTTATCCCAACAGTTGCGGCTAACAATCATCCGCCACTTCTCCAAGGAACCACGAAGTCCCTTACCGCATATAGGTTGGTCTCACTTGTTAGTTGACATCTAAGACTCGCCTCCAAGGATGCCATGTTGCGCTATAATTGTCTGGCATTGGTCATGAGCTTCTCCCCCATCAACAACCATAGGAAGGTGAGAATTCTTTACAGCCCCTCTGTAACACCCCGTGTATACCCGGTTTGTTAACATGTCATCGTATTAAGCTACGATTAATTAAAAATGCGGAATATCTTTTTCTTTTCAATTATGACATCATTATCAATTACCAACTTGATTACTTAATCATTTCAAAACATCGTCTGTATGTAAATTGCAAATAGACAGCTAACTGAAATACCTCAATATATAAGTTAACAGTGAGTATCTAAAAATCACGGGACTACAACACGTTGCCCGGACAATATCCTGATACATTATTACAACTCGCATCTAACTAAGACAAAGTCAAACAATGTGGCATGGACAATCCCCATGCTCACCAAATAAGGCAACAAATCCCAACATAGTCTCAACAGCAGCAACAATAATCATAACAACTAATAACATAAAGCAACAGGCATAATCCAGCATTCAGACATATCATCATATAAACAGCAATATCAGCTAAGCTCTGCCCTCCTGCCGCTAGAGGTCTCAACTCCCGCATTACCTAAACCTGAAAATGGTGCCCCAAACGTGGGGTGAGATCTCTAAACAGAAATCTCAGTAAGACAAGGGGTCCTCAAGGATCTTCCACCCCAAGCTCACTTACATGTGCAATATAAGTTCTAAAAGCAGTATTTCAATATCAGTTCCAAAACCAATGCAATGCAGCAGATAATCATGTCATGTGTGTTATAACTATTCTACTGATCAGAGAAGTGCAGGAATACGTCTATTACCCACACAGTACACGCCCATGTTGTACCCGCCCACAGGATAACCCCATGGCTTCCTGTCTCGGCGAAACACCACATACATATCATAAGCATTTTGCACTTAACAGCTCAATAGCATTTCAATAAAACAGTACATGAAAACACATCATGCATATAAACCATCCCTCATAGGATATGGTGGAACAAACAATGGCTAAACCGAGGATACAAAACCTTACCTTGCAAGCTAACAATCCAAGCCAAGAGTCCAACCCAGCTCAAAGCTCAAACACAGCAGAATCACAATTTGTTTTGGACCAGCAATCATATCAATGACCATACACAACAAGCATAAGACACAAAGGCAACGTCTTTCCTTAACGTTTCATGTCTTAAGGCTTCTCACAAAGCCACAAGCCCTTAATCCCTTGATTCTGACTTAGTTCAATTATTACAGAAGTTCAACTTAACCAATCTAGGATCCACAAACCCCAAACACAGTTCTGTATGAACAGTGCAGCTACTGTTCATCGAAAATCTAGAATATCCGGATATTCGTCGGGGACATATCCGAATATCTGTCTGGCAATATCCGGATATTCAGAACCCAATATCCGGATATTTCTAACCCAATATCCGGATATTTCGCGGCAGAACTCAGATTCTGCATTTCACGAGATATCACTCAAAAGGTTCGACTTTTACCGATTACAGAAGCTTAAACATGCATTTCTAGGTGTGTTTAACCTTACCCAACCTTAAGTTATGATCTTTAGCTTGTTACATGCATCAATATTCCATTTTTAACCATTAAACTCAAGAACAAAGGTGATGATCATACCGCAAGCTCAAAACAGAGGTTAATGATCTCTTGGAGCTCGCTTGAAGCTCCCAAGGTTCTGACTTCCTAAGGAAAATGAAAATGACAACAAAGCTTGGTCCTTTCTCTTCAAAGGTCACACCTTGAAGCTCCCAAGGAGAAGGTTCCCACAACAAGTTTCATGAACTCAGCCCCTAAACAACACTCACAGAGGCCAAACTCAGAAAAAGAAACACTCCCACACCTTCACAAGACTCATTCTCACAAGCTTTGGTGTTTAGATGAAGAAAGAGTGGAGAAAGGTGATCACTTGGGCTTGTTCTTCAAGAAAATGGAGGTGGCAAGCTATGGAGAGCAAAACTCAGAAGTAGAGGCACAAGGGTCACGTAGAAATGCCAAGTTTCTAACCTAGGATCATATGTCACCCCTTAAATAGTCCACTTAAGTCTTAAACACACAGTATTAGTGCTAATCGCTACGTTTAGCATTTTAATCCCAAACTTAGGATTCTAAACCTACTCATTTTTCTAAGACTTATCATATTTTTATTTTATTTTTCGCAGCATATTTCCGGTACGCGCTTTTCCATAGCCAGTATCAGTTCTGGCAACAGTTCTCATTATTTTAACTTGAAACTTGTTTTACAAGTCCTACATATTATTCTAGTGACATATACACACTTTTCATAATTTTCCGGGATACTTCATCGGTATGCATTTATACCGAGTAGCAGAACCGGTATCTGTACTTTTCGTCAGAAAAGCGACTTTCAACATTCTTAATCAATTACCATAATTATTTAAGCCTCCTCATAATTATTAGGGTCAATTATGGAATTATTTCTTAATTCTCATATTTATTTAATTAATTTTCTAATTTAACGGTGAGGGTTCTTACATTCACCCCACCTTTTTAAGGATTTTGTCCTCAAAATCAGAAACATACTTGTCTCGGAAGTCGGGATACTGTCGGAGAAGCTCGTCCTCTCGTTCCCTAGTACACTCCTCAGGAGTTCTTCCAATCCATTACACTTTGACCATCGAAATGATTTTGCTCCTTAACTGCTTCTCGCCACGATCGAGAATCTTGAGTGGTTCGACGGGAGTCTTTAGGTTCTCCCGAACCTCCACATCATCTGTTTGCACCACGTGCGAAGGATCTGCTATGTACTTCCGAATCTGAGACACGTGAAACACGTCATGGATGTTGGCCAGGTTCGGAGGCAAGGCAAGCCGGTAGGCAACAGGTCATACTCTACCAAGTATCTGGTATGCCCCAATAAATCGCGGGCTCAGCTTCCTCACTCCGAGTGTACGACCAACACCGGTGACAGGTGATAGTCTCACAAACACGTGCCCACCCTCACTGAACTCCAGTGGGCGATGCTTGACATCGTAGTAACTCTTCTGGCGATTCTGCGCCTGCTTTAGCTTTTCCCTGATCAACTGGATCTGCAGGGTAGTATCTTGGACAAAGTTCAAGCCAAACAGCTCCTTATCTCCAACCTCAGACCAGCAGGTAGGAGTCCGACACCTCCTACCATACAACGCCTCGTAGGGTGCCATGCCCAGGCTAGCATGAAAACTGTTCTGGTACGAAAACTCAACCAATGGCAGGTACCTATCCCATGCTGAACCCTACTCCAAAGTGCAAGCCCTCAACATGTCCTCCAATGTCTGGAAGGTCCGCTCAGTCTGTCCATCAGTCTGAGGGTGATAGGTTGTACTCAGTCTCAACTGCGTACCAAAAGCCTCCTGCAGCGCCTTCCAGAACCGAGATGTGAACTTCGGGTCCCTATCACTGATGATACTCTCGGGCACCCCGTGAAGTCTCACA